CACAGTTCTGCATGAGTTCACAAGCAAGATTGCTTTATGGCCTATGTTATCAAGAGACAAGTTAAAACAGGGCAGTTCCTTTGTATCATCTTTAAAGAATAAATGAAATAGTAAAAGTGTTGCATGTTTCCATCTTAAGTATATTATTTCATGTACCTACATGAACATATATTTGGAAATATACTGTTTGGATACTTACATTCGGTGGCTTTATTCTCCAGAGACTATCAGCTACTTTAGTACTCTTTAAGGCATTTTCCTGTTCATCTTTTGATGATTTCTATTTAAGTTTTAGGTTTGTACTTTTTATTTGCAAACCAAAACGTTTAACTTGTTGCCTATCTAAATACAGGTTGTATACTTGATCTTTATTTAAATTGTGGTCCACATCTGTAATGTCTGCTGTTCTTTCCTGTTGTATTTGACTAATGTACTAACATTTCTTTTTCTTTTTTTTTTTTTGCCAGTCATGGGGCCTGAACTCTGGGACTGGGCGCTGTCCCTCAGCTCTTCAGCTCAAGGCTAGTGCTCTACCACTTGAGCCACAGCATTACTTCCGGCTTTTTCTGCATATGTGGTGCTGAGGAATGGAACCCAGGACTTCATGCATGCAAGGCAAGCACTCTACCACTGAGCCACCTTCCCAGCCCCTAACATTTCTTATACTTAATATTTTGCATTACTTTGCAAGTAACTCACAGATAAATGCTGAACATGAGACTATTTCCTTCACTGCACTTCAGAAAGCAAACGGTCTTGTTGGGTTTATCTGAGTCGTTACAGTGAAATAAACGATTTATTCCTATTTGGTTAGTGTAGTTAATTATAATATCTATTCTGCATCTTTTCAGCAAAAATATTCTCTTTCATTACATTCTTTTTGTTGGTCATGGGGTTTGAACTCTGGGCTTGGGCACTGTCCTTGAGTTCTTCAGCTCAAAGCAAGTGCTCTACCTCTTGAGCCACAGCACCACTTCTGGTTTTTCTGGTGATTAATTGGAGATGAGTCTCATGGATGTTCCTGTCCAGGCTGGCTTTGAACTGTGATCCTCAGATCTCAGCCTCCTAAATAGCTAGGATTATAGGAATAAGCCACTGGCACCCAGCTTTTCTTTAATTTCATCTATCTTTCCAACAAATAGTACTTGGACAACTGGATAAACACGTGCCAAAGAATGAACTCGCAACAGAAAAAGACCCAATTGTAAAAAGTAAAGCTATAAAACTTAAAAGGAAGTAAATCTTTGAGACTTGGACTAGGTGTTGGTTTCTTAGCTAACAGACCAAATGAACAAAAATGAAAGAAAATAAATTGGGACTTCATTCAAATTATAACCTTGTACTTCAGAAGGATCCCATGAAAGTCAGCAGAGAACATAAGCTGGATGAAAAGAAAATCGTGTAGATAATTCATCTCATAAAAGGATTTCATTCTGAATTGTACAAAGAATTATAACTCAATAATAGGGCAAAGCCAAAATTTAAAATGGGTAGAATATTAATAGACATGTTAAAGAAGATACTCAAATGGCAATGAAATTGTATACCAAGCATCATTAACCATCAGAACAAACTGTAGTAAGATGTCCCTTTTCCTTCACACCAACTAGGATGCCTGGAATAAAGAAGTGCTGAACCAGGCTCCAGTGGCTCACACCTGTAATCCCAGCTATACAGGAGGCTGAAATCTCAGGATTATTGTTTGAAGCCAGTCTGCAAAGTCCATGAGACTCTTACCTCTAACCACCAAAATCTGGAAGTTGAGGCATGGCTCACGTGGTAAAGAAGTAGCTTTAAGCAAAAAAAGCTAAGGAACAGCGCCCAGTTCCTAAGTTTAAGTAAGACAAGTGCTAGCTAGGTGCCAATGGTTCACACCTATAATACTAGCTACTCAAGTGGCAGAGATTTGGAGATCATGGTTCAAAGTCAGTTGACACTCTTACCTTCAATTAACCATCAGAAAATCAGAACTGGCACTGTGGCTCAAAGTGGCAGAGCTCTAGCCTTGAGCAAAAAAGCCCAGGCCTCGAGGTCAAGCCCCATGAGCAACAAAAAAAAAAGGGGGGGGGGGTGGGGGATTTTAAAAAAGACAAGTGCTGGAGAGAATGTGGAGAAATTAGGACCCTCATTCACAATTGGTGGGAATGTAACATACTACAGATCATAGATGTGCTTTGAGGTAAAATGGGGTAAGGGTCAGTGGCAGAAAATCTGCCAAGCAGTTGCAAAGCATTGAGTTCAACAATAAGTACTCCCCACCACTCCCCCCAAAAGGTGTATCAGTTACCTGTGACCTAGCAATCCTAGGTATATAAGACAAATGTAGGTAAGTCCAACATGACTATAGTCAGATTGGATTGCAATGCTCCTACCTATCCCTCCCATGTAGCTGGGATTACTTAGTCTGCTAGTTGAGAGTTGCTTAATTCTAATTGCCTATGCTGTCCTCAAGCCATAATCTCCACCTTCCAAGAAGCTGGGATTACAGGCAAGAATTGGCATCTTAAATAACACCAAACCTTTCAAACCAAGAATGGATAGGAAAAGACGGATGAGGTTTGGCCCAAATGGTAGAGTGCCTGCCTAGTAAATATGAGTCTATTTAATCCCTCCCCACAAATCCTTTAGGCTTATTTTTCTGGTATATTCCTGTGTTTTTGTCTAGGCTGGCTTCTACATAACTAGGATTACATCATATCCAGCTTGTTTGCTGTGATGAACTCAGTAACTCTTGCCGGAGCTAGCCTTGAATGATCTTCCAAAATCTCTGCCTCCCAAGTATCTGGGATTACAAGCATTAGCCAATTCACCTAGTCCCATTTCCCTTCCTTCTTGTATATTGATTACATTGATTTTTCTTACTGTTCTATCACCAGTCTTGTTCCTAGGATAGATTCTACTTGGTCATTATGTGTTGTTCTTTTTTTTTACACTGCCAGATTTCAGTTGCTATCACAAAGTCCTTGTGGTCTTATAATAAAACATGTACTTTTTGAATATACTTAATGCTTTTGAGTAAAAACGAAGAATGTCATATATCCTGTCCCAAAATTTACCACTGAAAAGGAAATATTTTGTTTTTTACTGTTGACCTGTTGGTTTAACTCAAAGCCTCACACTCACTGGTTTTTCCCTCACTTTGTTTCCAGCTCTACCACTTGAGCCATGCCTCCAGTTCTAGTTTTTTACTGATTAATTGAAAATAAGAATCCCTGAGATTTGTCTACTCAGGCTGACTTAGAAACCTTGATCCTCAGATATCTGCCTTCTGAATGCCCAGGACCGTAAGTGTGAGCCATCAGCACCTCACTTGAAATATTTAATTTTCAAAAACTCATTACAGTATTCATCACATAAAATCTCCTGGTCTGGCCTTGGATAGCTCAGCAGGTGGAATGTTTGTCTAGCATGTGCAAAGGCCCTAGGTTTAATCACAGCATGGGGGGAAAATCATCTAGAATTTTTTTTTTTAAAAGCTCACATTTGGCCTACAAATGAATGCTAAATTGTGAATTAAAGAAAACTTAAGAGGGGCTGGGAATATGGCTTAGTGGTAGAGTGCTTGCCTAGTATGCATGAACCCCTAGATTCTATTCCTCAGAAACACATACACAGAAAAAGCCAGAAGTGGGTCTGTTGCTCAAGTTGTAGAATGCTAACATTGAGAAAAAAGAAGCTCAGGGACAGTGCCCCAGCCCTGAGTTCAAACCCCAGGATTGGCAAAAAGTAAAGAAGAAAAGAGGGGCTGGGAAGGTGGCTCAGTGGTAGAGCGCTTGCCTTGCATGCATGAGGCCCTGGGTTTGATTCCTCAGCACCACATAAGCAAAAAGAAAAAAGCCAGAAGTAGCGCTGTGTCTCAAGTGGTAGAGCGCTAGCCTTGACCTGAAGAGCTGAGGGACAGCGCCCAAGCCCTGAGTTCAGGCCCCACAACTGGACCCAAAAAAAAAAAAAAAAGAAGAAAAGAAAAAGGAAAACTTAAGAAAAAATGCTTAGGTAATTTTCATAATACATATTAGCACCAATGGTAAAAACTAGCTGAGGGGCTGGGAAGGTGGCTCAGTGGTAGAGTCCTTGCCTTGCATGCATGAGGCCCTGAGTTCGATTCCTCAGTACCACATAAGCAGAAGCCAGAAGTGGCACTGTGGCTCAAATGGTAGAGCGCTCGCCTTGAGCTGAAGGCCTCAGGGACAGCGCCCAGGCCCAGAGTTCAAGACCCACGACCAACAAAAAAAAAAAGACTAGCTTACTGGCTTTCTTGGACTTTTAGTGGTAGCTCTAGGATTCCTATGTAAGCACTAAGAGGTACAGTATAACCACAGAAAGACTGACTAAAAACATTCAGTTTCTTATTACTAGTATTATAGAACAAAAATGAAAATTTTTTCTAAAGGCATTTTTATTCACATTGTACATAAGATTGGGAAAATACCAATTCTCAAATATCAAAACCTGAGGCTGAATCATTGGGTCTACTTGCTTATACCTGCTGCATTTAAGGCTCCATTTTCCAGGGAAGACCTGCAGGTTGCTTTCCGTTCTCCAAAGACAAGACACTATGAAAAGAATACCACATCAACGGGTGAACAAATACAACAGGGGTAACTCACTAGACATTATGTGGGAAATGAACTCTACATCTTATAGGTGAGAAAAAACTGGGAGAAAGTGATGGAGGGTGAGACATGGTTCAAAAAGAAATGTACTCATTACCTGATTCATGTAACTGTAACCCCTCTGTGTATCACCTCTACAATAACAATTTTATATATATATAAAGAATATCACACATTAAAAAGTAAATGGAGATGGGAGTTACTAATCCTAGAAGAAAATAGACAAAAGTAGAGATGATCTCACTTGAAAGCAATTTGCGTTAAGAATTAGTTCTTTTGTTGTATGTTTTTAGAAACAATGTCAAATATACCTGAAAATCAGATAAAATTAGGTTTCTTGCATGTTGAAAGGTTAAAAGTAATATTATTAAAAATAAATGCAAAAACTTTTTTACAGAATAGTATAAATGTTTATTTTATGTATGATTTTCTTTCCTGTCCTGTTTTTACAATATAGAAAAGTGTATTTTTTGAATAGCTCTAGGAAATATAAATTTAATCTTTTCTACTTTGGGATGTAAATAGAGCTAAAAAAAATTATATACCCAGCCCTCCCCAAATAGTCTTTTTAAATTGTTGAATTAATGTGACTATTAATCTTGTTCAGCAGTTTGATGCAAATGCCTAAATACAAAAAGTTGTTTAGTATGTACTACACAGGAAGAAAAACAATATTTTAGTTTCTTGAAAATCAAAAACTAGTAGCATTTGATTGCACCTTTAAATTTTTACAAGCAAGACATTCTTAAGCAATGCCATCGTACATAATCTACAATTAAATGAGAACTTCACAAACATTTCTGCACACTGTATATAAATACACATCACAATGATGTAATTAGAATTAAACAGAGTATATACAAAATGAACAAAGTTTAGGTTTAGACCAAAAACTTATTGCAATCTGTTGAAAAATAACTTGATTACATATTTTATCCTTACACTAATTTACATTTATACAATTTTAATTAGACATACTAGAATGAGGTGCTAAGAACATCTGTATTATCTACATTTAAAGTTACTGCACTATAGTTTTATAAACCTAAAGAAGGATACTTAAATGAATAACGGAATCCTCTTTTGTATTTTTTCTATTGCCTGTATCTTTCATGTTCATATGAACATATATACATACTTAATACATACAACTATAGTCCTTGGAGGAAATGTAATAATTACTGAGGATTAAGGAACAAACAAAATGTCTGAATTTCAACATGGTTTTTTCCTTTCATAAAATCAAACTCCTATTACAATAGGCTCTTAAATTCATAGAGCTCTTGAATTACTAAAAATGATTTATGTTATGTTAGTTATATGAAAACACCCAACTTCATCTTAATAACTCACTGGCTTAAAGTAAACCATATTAAAGATTCCTTATAAAATCAAATCCCATTACATCTCTGAAAGTTTTGTTAGGTGGCCCATTTTCAGTACATCAGGTAAAGAGACAGGTATTGTCTGAAATGTCTCAGTTCCAACGTCTACAAAAAGATCTGTGAAAAGTCCTTCCCTAAATTCATCTCTTTCAACCTCAAAATTCCTGACTTCTCTTTCCAAGCCCAATGCTGAGCCTGATCCTTATTATATGGGATCCCTTCTGTCCTGTCTCAATGTAATGGTGTGTGCTTCTCTTCACAGCCCTCTTACTTCCACATGACAACTGTTCCAACATGCACCACCTCTGAGAGGGAAGCTGGACACCTAGGGCAGGTGAGCCATTCCTCACAAGAGTACATGCCATCCTCTCAAAGTCCTTACTGCCCCTTAATACCATATTGTGGATTTGTTTTTTTAAAAGTTTTTTTTTTTTCATTTTAAAAGTGTACATGGGGATTACTTGTTGGTATTTTTAGAATCTATCCTAAAAAGATGATTTTTTTTTCTTAAAAAGATAGTGCTCTTCTAACACAAAATGTCATTTGAATCTGCTTCATAACAATTTGTTATGTAGACATTTTATCTGCATATCTGAAATATTCTAAATCTAGAACCAAAGATGACTGGGTAATACCCATGCTGCTTTGGCTTCTTCTATTGAATAAAGTCATACGACACCATACATTATAAATTATATTACAGTAATTTATAAGTGTTTTTTATCAATAAAATCAGAAGGACAGAACATCTACTTCTTAAGAAACTCAAGCAAATTAAACATCTATATAATACAATAAAGGAAAAAAATTAAGTTAAATTCAATTTAGAAGGGGCATAAGCAGAATTAACTATTATTTAAAATGTACTAATTTCCTCATTTAAAATTTCTTCTCTTTCAATATTATTTCAGGTTTTTTAAAACAAGGACTGAATTAAAATACAGTAATTGTTAAACTAGCTTGCAAAAAATTAAGTTTCCTGTACAGCTCCCTTCCTCATCTCCTGGGCTGGAGTTAGCAATTCATAGCACAGGGATCGCTCTTTGCCTTTCCTGCAGAGTTGATGACACTCATCAGACATCGTCCAAACTCCTCAAGTATCATCCGTTCCGCTGCAGCCTTTGACTTTCCCTTCTTGTCTGCCTGCTCAGCCTGGGCAAGAAGGCAGTTACATGTGGCTTCAGCTACTTCCTTAGTTACAAATGTAAATGGTAACCTGAAATGATTTTGGAGAGAGAGAGTGAGATGATAATGATAGTGATTGGGTAAACCCTTCTGGGAATCTCAGCTGACACTTCTACACTTCACCCACATGAACATCAAAATTTGCATTGTAAACACACACTAAAGAGCTGAATAAAGTTAGATTTTTTCTCATCCTCTAGCACATTTTAAAAGGTAGTTCAGGAACTACATGATTTATTATAAAACACCTGATTTCTTACCTACACAAGATCATCTGATTAACTAAAAGACATAATTGTACCAGTATACTGGACACTTCTGAAAGTGGAGTTCATCGAATTCATGACTATAAGCTCCACAAATGTTTTGATAATTTTGCTGTTTCTCCAGTGCCTACAACAGTGAGCAACTCACAGATATTCCCTGAGTATTTGCTGGATGAGTACTATTGGAAACAATACATTTTAACACATTTCTTTGCATTGTTTGTAAAGAAAAACAAATAAGCATACCCAAATTCTACATTGTTCCACCACAACAAAGAAAACAAAGGGAAAGTCAAATACTACTCTACACAGTGTCAATGACACAGACTTGAACTGCTAAGTAGTACTCTGTGCTGAAGCTTTCTATATTATAACCAAGTCAAGTGTAAGCCTGACACAGTAAATACTGCAACCTAATCATCCATGAACTGAACAGCCTGTAAATAATTGGCCAATATAGAACACTGCAGCACTAAATTATGGCCCAACATGACAAAAGTTCAGGCTGCCACTCAATTGTATAGAAATCTTCAATGTATAAGGAAGCATTTAAAAATATTAATGCCACAATGTTAATACTACAGTGTTTAATTAGTAATACTAGCCAAATACCATAAAAGTGCCCATTATAAAATATTTAGAACTATAAACAAGAATGAGGAAAGGCAAAGAATCAAAGGTAAAACTCAAAGACTTGTTAGAGTGCTGGTATAACTTCATAGCTTTTAAAAAAACATCCTTGATTACAGTGTACATTATTTCTTTTGTGCATGAAAGTTCAAACCCAGTGCCTCCTTGCACATACCCTGAACTATGTTTCTAGTCCCATAGTGTATAATTTAGTGTTCATATCTATAAACATTCTCCCAAGTGGGAAAATTAAAAATATTTTACTGCGCCAATATATTTAATCTCCACAAGGAGATTAGATTCCATCATCTAAAGGATCATTAAGACCAGAAAGGAACCCATGTCAACTCCCTAAAGAGTCAACCCACCACTGTGTACAGTCAAGACAATTTCCAAATTATGTTTCAGTGGTAACAGTTCCTTAGAACAAACAGGGCAATCCTTAGAACCAATGGTGGCAACACACTGAACTCAATCCTTGAAGCTCAAGACAGGAGGATCATTAAGTTTAAGGCCAGACAGGGCTACACAGCAAGAACCTGTCTCAAATAAATATATAAAACCAAACCAAAAATAAACAAAACAAAAAAACCACTAATGGCTAAAATACTTTGTAGGAAAAAAAAAAGGTTTATGGCTAGGCAATGGTAGCTCATGCCTGTAATCCTAGTTATTCGGGAGGCTGAAATTTGAGGATTGTGGTTCAAAGCCAGCCCAAGCAGTAAAGACCATGAGACTCATATCTCCAATAAACTACTCAGAAAAAACTGGAAGTGGTGCTGTGGTTCAAGTGGCAGAGGTCTAGAAAAGAGCCAGGCCTTGAGTTCAAGGGGAAGGAAAGAAGGAAGGAAGGGGGGGGGAAGGGAAGGGACGGGGAGGGGAAGGGGAGGGGAAGGAAGGAAAGGAAGGAAGGAAGGAAGGAAGGAAGGAAGGGAGGGAGGAAGGGAGGGAAGGGAAGGGGAGGGAGGGAGGGAGGGAAGGGAGGGAGGAAGGAAGGAAGGAAGGAGGGAGGGAGGGAGGGAGGGAGGGAGGGAGGGAGGGAGGGAGGACCTTACTTTTCTAAGCAACAAATCAGATCTTATTTCTTTTTTGTCAACTGTGGGGCTTGAACTCAGGGCCTGAGGGCTGTCCCTGAGCTCTTTTGCTCAATGTTAGTACTCTACCACTTTGAGCCACAGCTCCACTTCCAGTTTTCTGGTTGTTAATTGGAGATAAGAGTCTCACAGACTTCCCTGCCCAGGCTGGCTTTAAACCACAATATTCACATCTCAGCCTTCTGAGTAGCTAGGATTACAGGCATAAGCCACCAGCACCCAGCTGGATCTTATTTCCACTTAAGCATTTTTAAATAATAAATGCCAGGTCTATTCTCTTAATAATTCTTCAAATTAATGTCTAATAAATAAACCTAAGTCCAAATTATAAACTGTTTTGGTATACTGCAAACACCTATAATGAAAATGCTTCATTGCTCACAGCCACCTGTAAAAGCCATTTTAAGGATAAGAAAACTTAGGTAATAAGTAGAGCTACTTGTTTATTTAACTCAGTACTAAATAGCATAGACTGTATTAAACTCTGACCTTGCTCCCTCTTCCACCTTTTCAAAAACATCTGGGAGTACAGATCTTCAATTAATCTATTTCTCATGTGTGTGTGTGTGTGTGTGCGCGCGCGCGCGCCTCTGTGTGCCTGTGTGTGTGCCTGTGTGTGTGCCTGTGTGCCTGTGTGTGTGTGTGCCTGTGTGCCTGTGTGTGTGCCTGTGTGTGTGTGTGTGTGTGTGTGTGTGTGTGTGTGTGTGTGTGTGTGTGTGTGTGTGTGTGTGTGTGTGTGTTTGGTTTTATTTTGGTTTTGAGATGGGCTCTTGCTGCATTGATCAAACTGGTATGAAACTCCTGGGCTCAAGTGATCCTCTGCATTAGCCTCCAAAGTAGCTGGGACTATAGGCACTCACAACTGTGCCCAGTTGCCTGACTTAAGGTCAAAGCTTTTTACTCAGGAGCACAGCATTCTAGTTAAAGAGATAACAACCATATTTCAATGTTACAGTGTCAAGGTGGTCTAACAGAATAGGAGAAGTGCTCCAAGAACAAGGAAAAAGTAAAAGAAGGCAAGAAAATATGAGAAAGAGCATACGCTGAAAAAAATAAAAACTGGTTTGCTTGAGAGTACTCAAATAGTAGAGATAAAACCAATTAAATTTTAAACACAGAAATTAAAACACTACTGTGTACTTTAGAATAGCACAACAGGTCTTATAGGGTTTTTTGTTACCATAAATTCCTTCACAAGTAAGAAAGATGGAAGGAAAATGGAAAAACCAGAATTTAAAATAACCAACTCAACTTTGACCTTCTAAAGAGAAACCTTCCTTATCAAAATGAATATGAGAGAGAGAAAAAAAGAAGAAATCAAAACTATCAACTTACTTTCCTCCTCCACTATTTAAAGCTGGCGTTGGCCTAGTAAGCAAATCTGAAATCTGAGAAGACAGCTTCGTCTTCGCAGCCGTTTGCTGCTGGACCCTTACTTCAGCTGCATCTGCTAAGTGCATCAATGTCTTTCTTTCTGGGCTTTCTTCAAAATTCTTACAGCCAATACACTTACATATTGAAGAACACATTATTTTTGCCTATAAGATTTACAAAAGAAAAGTTTCCAAATCAAAACAAAAACATCACTGTAAGTAGATTTCAGAATCAAATCAACACACAATTGTATTCATTATCTGGTCAGCTGACAGAAGGGCTGATAGAAAGATCTTTTTTTAACCAAGCCTACACAATCAGCTGCTTGTGGCTATGTTTGAGCAAGGCTGACCAATGTTTGTATTCATATCTCCCCAATATGAACACCACACACTCTTCATGAGTATGAATGTTACATTACATATAAAAGTATGTCATGCCAGATGCCAGTGGCTCATGCCTGTAATCCTAGCTACTCAGGAGGCTGAGATCTGAGAAACTCGGTTCAAAGCCAGCCCGGGCAGGAAAGTCTGTGAAACTCTTATCTCCAATAAACCACCAGAAAACCAGAAGTGGTGCTGTGGCTCAAGTGGTAGAGCACTAGCCTTGAGCTGAAGAGATGAGGGACGGTGCTCAGGTCCAGTGTTCAAGCCCCACGAAAAAACAAAAATAAAATTTTAAAAAAATAAAAAAATAAAAGTATGTCAATGAAGTCACTGTTACCATGTCAGTGTCTTCCATTCATGTAACCACAACCTCAGTCCACATGAAAAGGATTTAAGTGTTGTTTACTAGGGATGGTTCCTTCCCCAGTGAGCCATAATAAGCACTTAAAAAATGCTGACGGGGCCAAGAGCTGGTGGCTCAAGACTGTAATCCTAGCTACTCAGGAGGCCGAGATCTGAGGATCACAGTTCAAAGCCAGCCTGGGCAGGAAAGACCGTGAGACTCCCATCTCCAATAAACCACCAGAAAACTGGAAGTGGCACTCTAGCTCAAGTGGTAGAGCACTCGTCTTGAGCTGAAGAGCTGAAGGACAGCGTTCAGGCCCAGAGTTCAAGCCCCATGACCGACCAAAAAAAAAATTTAAAAAATGTTGACAGGGTTGTACCATGGGGGGAAAACATACAAAAAACAAACAAACGAATCACATGTATTGAATTCCTGTGTCCTGCATCTTGTATATACATTTTTCTAATTTGGGAAGGGGAAGGGAAATAACAAAATGCTTTGTAACAATGAGATGTACAAGACAGTATGTTGAAAATGAACTTTACATCTTTGCAGGGGGGAATGTGGGAAGGAAGGGATGGTAGGGGAAAAATAAAGAAGGGTTACATATACTCATTTAACTCAGTCTTGAAGCCATATGACAGGACCTTGAATGTGATGTCCAAATGCAAACCAATGAGATAAAAAAAAAAAAAAGCCAATTTAATTTTAAACCAATGTCTCAAGACAACAAAAATTCCCAGGCAAGGTGCCTCACATCTGTAATTCTAAGTGGCAGAATAGTAGTCTGAGGTTGGCCCTGGATTAAAAGTATTGAGATTCTATCTAAAAAAAATGATCAAGGGGCTGGGAAGGTGGCTCAGTGGTAGAGTGCTTGCCTTGCATGCATGAGGCCCTGGGTTCGATTCATCAGCACCACATAAGCAGAAAAAAGCCGGAAGTGGTGCTGTGGTTCAAGTGGTAGGGCACTAGCCTTGAGCTGAGAAACAGTGCCCAGGCCCTGAGTTTAGTTCCCAGGACCAAAAAAAAAAAGATCAAAAGCAAACAGGAGGGCTGGGAAGGTGGCTCAGTGTAAGAGTGCTTGCCTCGCATGCATGAGGCCCTGAGTTCGATTCCTCAGCACAATATACACAGAAAAGGCAAGAAGTGGGTGCTGTGGCTCAAGTGGTAGAACGCTTGCCTTGAGCTGAAGAGCTCAGGGACAGTGCCCAGGCCCAGAGTTCAAGCTCCATGACTGACCAAAAAAAAAGCAAACAGGACTAGAGGTGTGGTTCAAATATAGAGCATTTGTTCTGCAAGATTGAGTCCCTGAGTACAAACCCCAAGACTGCGAGAAAAAAAGTTAACATAAACTGTCAGACAACATTAAAAAAAACTTCGTGGGCTGGGAAGGTGGCTCAGTGGTAGAGCGCTTGCCTTGCATGCTCAAGGCCCTGGGTTCGATTCCTCAGCACCACATAAGCAAAAAGAAAAAAGCTGGAAGTGGCGTTGTGGCTCAAGTGGTAGAGCGCTAGCCTTGAGTTGAAGAGCTGAGGGACAGTGCCCAGGCCCAGAGTTCAGGCCCCACGACCGGACCCAAAAAAAAAACCAAAAAAAATACTTCGTACTGACAGCTGGGCACTGGTAACTCACACCTATAATCCTAGCCACCCAGGAAGCTGAGATCTGAGGATTGAGGTTCAAACCAGCCCACACAGTAAAGTCTGTGAGATGCTTACCTCCAATTAACCACCAGAAAAACCAGAAGTAGAACTGTGGCTCTAAGTGGTAGAGTGCTAGCCTTGAGCAAAAATTGCTCAGAGACAGCACTCAGGCCCTGAGTTCAAGCCCCACAACTGACCCAAAAAAAATAAATAAATAAAAAGTCATAGCAATCCAAATAACCACTATAATCCATAGTTACATATTTCCCAAGTTTTTTCATTTGAATTTTGGAATGACAAATTAGCTATTAGACATGTTGTCTATTCTGATAGTTTCTTAAGGAAAACCAGGACAGATGTCTCTCTTCACTTTAACCATCCTACTTCTTTTTCTACTTTTATTAACTCACAGACTTGTTCATCAGTTTAATTAAATGATTAGTTCATGTGTTTGCATCTCATATGCCAAGCTTGTACATGAAAGGGAATTGCCATCCTGATCTAGTTTTACAGCAATTTTCCTTTCTTTTTTTTTTTAATTACTATTTTCCTTTCTTTTAGCAAACTTGGTTTGAGGGTTTTCAAAAACAAAACTATCCATATGTTAGTTCTTACATTTCCATTAACAGCATTGTATGATATGGTTTATAAACTATTTTTGTCAGGTAACCCAACAGAACAAAGTCAATATATGCCACCAGTGAATGAAAATCTGGCTTCCAACAAGAAGTCATTTAAGTGTCTTTCAAAAATAATCTTGATAAAGTGTTCATTAATACTGACAGAAAAATGAAATATTACTCTACTATACTACCTTTAGTTCTGAGAAGTCATTGACTTTTTTTTTTTTTACTGTCGTGGGGCTTGAACCCTGGGCCTGGGCATTGTCCCTGAGCTCTTCAGCTCAAGGCTAGCACTCTATCACTTGAGCCACAGCACCACTTCCAGTTTTCTGGTGGTTTACTGGAGATAAGAGTCTCATGGACTTTCCTGTCCAGGCTGGCTTCTAACAGCGATCCTCAGATCTCAGCCTCCTGAGTAGCTAGGATTACAGGCATAAGCCACCGGTGCAAGGCTTTGTTGATTTTCTAAATAGTAAATTCAGAAAGAATTCATGACAAAGAAAATGCAGTAAATGACATCTTCAATATGATGCATTTTATAGAAGAGTACATGATATGCAGACAGTTTCCCAAGTATACAGCAAAGCTTTCTGCTAAAGCTAAAAAGGAGGTTCCTACAAGGAAAACAACCAAAAAAACTGTCTGTGGATAGCTGAGGTGAGTAAGAAGCCAATTAGGGAATCCATGACTTTCCTGACATGACTAGATAGCCATATAAGCTTCAAAAATGAAAATAAGGGCTGGGAAAGTAGCTAAGTGGTAGAGTGCTTGCCTTGTATGCGTGAAGCCCTGGGTTCAATTCCTCAGTAGCACATAAGCAGAAAAGGCTGGAAGTGGCGCTGTGGCTCAACTGGTAGAGCGCTAGCCTTGAGCTGAAGAGCTCAGGGACAGTGCCCAGGCCCAGAGTTGTAGCCCCACGACAGAAAGAAAGAAAGAAAGAAAGAAAGAAAGACAGACAGACAGACAGACAGACAGAAAGAAAGAAAGAAAGAAAGAAAGAAAGAAAGAAAGGAAGAAAGAAAGAAGAAAGAAAGAGAGAGAAAGAAAGAAAAAGAGAGAGAGAGAGAGAGAAAGAAAGAAAGAAAGAAAGAAAGAGAAAGAAAGAAAGAAAAAAAGAAAGAGAAAGAAGGGAGGGAAGGAGGGAGGGAAGGAAGGAAGGAAGGAAGGAAGGAAGGAAGGGAGGGAGGGAGGGAGGAGAAAATAATAAAATGTACAATGTCTTCAGGCAAGGAGAAGAGGACTTGTATGGTACCTATCACTTCTAAAGAGAAGAAAGCTAGCCCCTGGTAAATGACTGCTGACTATGACACTGCAAGTCACCGCACGATGGTTGGTAACTTCATCTGACTATATTTGATATTTCTCCTTTCCGGGGTTCAAGACCACAAAGCAAACTTTTTTTTTTTTTCTTGTCAGTCCAGGGGACTGAATTCGAGGCCTGGGTGCAGTCACTAAGCTTTTGCTCAAAGCTAGCATACCACTTTAGCCACAGCGACACTTTCAGCTTTTTCTGTTTATGTGGTATTGAGGAATGGAACCCAGGGCTTCACGCATACCAGGCAAGCACTCTACCACTAAGCAACATTCCCAGACCCACAAACTTCTTAATGTGATTTAGTTTCCCACACAGCAATATTCTTCAAGAATCTTAGTTCAAGATAATCTCTCATTTCAGGACTATACCCCAGATAGAACATTTATACCCACTTAAGACTCCAAAAGGGCCAGGGAAACCAATAGTCAGCACTGGCCCTCCACTGAGAAGCACTGCTATAGTTACTACATCATTTCCATTTTATTGTTTCTTTTGGAAATTCAATATACTGGGGCTTTGGGTTATGTTCTTTCAGATATTAATGATTGAAGAGTTATGAATTGGTAAGCAGCAACTGAAATTTAAGCTGTAATAATGAGCCCAAGGTAATGTTCCTCTCAATCCCTGCTTGGAAAGCCACGAGGCATTCCTCCAACAAGGGCTCTTAAACATGTGCATAGTTTCAAACCACAATAAAGTATTTTCCAAATATCCCACTAAATTTTTGTAGCAGGTTCTTTCTAAAACCCTTCCCAAAGGATGATTGGGTTGTTCCTCAAACAGCATCATACCTCATAACATTCACAGTAGTTTTTAAGGCATCCTGACCGTTTGCAGTTGCACCCCTTGCTATGCCGTCGATCTGATTCTCCTTCCTTTCCTTTCCCTATCTTTGGTTTAAAGGCTTCTGGATTTCTGTCAAGGCATGCCTATCAAAACAGATCAAATAGAAGTGGAAGTTGAATCAGATTAAGCACCGCAAATGGAACTAATATTTTTCATGGTAAGACAATTGAGTCCTTAAAAAAAAAAAAAAAAAGGTAAAATGAGATTTTTTTGTCTGCTAAATGAAAAAAAAAAAATCACCTTTATTGCTTTTTGCCTTTCATTTTCATGTTCCAAATTGTTGTAACAATTGGTACAATTGCAGTTGTTGCAAAATTCACCATTGGCAAAGCAATCACAGTATCTGGAAGATAAAATGAGTGTAAATTTAAAAAGTCATTAGTAAATAAAAACAGTAATTATTTGATCCTATAGAGTCCTGTGTCTTATGTGTATCACATTACATATAGTACACCTCAGAAATATACTCAGAGCCACCTAGATACAGAGTTAAAACATACAGGCAACCACAAACTAGAGCTCAAAATTTTACTTACCAACTCTTAGAATTGCAACCTTAAAATCTAATCCAATAAATATGCCAACACATGAATTACATGACTCTATGAGTCCCAAGTAAGTTGTTTCAAAATTTTGGAGAAAGTAAATGACTACATTTTGTTGATGTCATCTACTCACTCAATTAAGCTATTGTGCTTTGGGATTCTAAGCTCTACAGCTTTGCATGGAACTGTCATATCAGATCTGTTAATTTAATTCAAATAAGCAAATTAATCATTCAATGGTCCTCCAAACCACCCCAAGGTCACAGTTCATGGAGGACACCAAATACCAAGGTTCTAAACAAGATCTATTTATTCCAATGAAAAACATAAACTACTTATAACTCATGTTGTGTTATCACATATATAATACATTATTTCTTTTTGAACCAATGAAAGGATATTTAAGTGCTATTCTCAAACATTTACCCCTGTATGCTTATTTAAAATACTATCACTTGTAAAATTAATTTATTAAGAATTTCTAATTAGTTACATTTAGTCCTGAGACTATTTCTTTTTTTTTTTTTTGTCGGTTGTGGGGCTTGAACTCTGGGCCTGGGCACTGTCCCTCAGCTCTTCAGCTCAAGGCTAGCGCTCTACCACATGAGCTACAGCGCCACTTCCCGTTTTCTGGTGGTTTATTGGAGATAGGAGTCTCACGGTCTCTCCTGCCCGGGCTGGCTTTGAACCGCGATCCTCAGATCTCAGCCTCCTGAGTAGCTAGGATTACAGGCGTGAGCCACCAGGGCCTGGCCTGAGACTATTTCTGATTGTATCAAGTAAGCAAATAACAGCAAAAAACACTTACAATTTCAAACACAGAGATTTTGTACAATTGCAGGGCTTCCTGGGCCGACTGGCAGACTCTGATGGGATTATGCTACTCAAACACAAATAAAGACAAACATGTCAATAAACTTAACATAATTATTTAAAACTAAAAAACGTTACCATCTACAAATTTCTGCCAAAAGTAAACTTCACAAATGTATCTATCTTTAATGGAATTTTTTATATGTTCCATTTACTTTTTTTTTTCTTGGCCAGTCTTGGGGCTTAAACTCAGGGCCTAGGTACTGTCCCTAAGCTTTAGTGCTCAAGGCTAATATGCTACCACTTGAGCTGCAGCACCACTTCCAGCTTTTTCTGAATAGTTTATTGGAGATAAGAGTCTCACAGACTTTCCTGCCTGGGCTGGTTTCCAACAGTGATCCTTAGATCTCAGTCTCCTGAGGAGCTAGGATTATAGGCATGAGCCACCAATGCTTGGCTCCATTTACATTTTCTTTAGGGGGGGGGGGGGGGGAATCGGTCATGGGCCTGAACTCTGGGCCTGGGAGCTGTCCCTCAACTCTTCAGCTCAAGGCTAGCACTCTACCACTTGAGCCACAGCACCACTTCCAGCTTTTTTTTTTTTTTTTTTCTGCTTATGTGGTAGTGAGGAATCAAACCCAGGGCCTCATGCATACAAGACAAGTGCTCTACCACTGAGCCACCTTCCCAGCCCCTCCATTTACATTTTTTAAAGAAGTGATCAGTAGGCTCTATAATAGTCTTCTTTGGGGGCTGGGAAGGTGGCTCAGTGGTAGAGCACTTGCCTTGCATGCCTGAGGCCCTGGGTTTGATTCCTCAACACCACATAAGCAAAAAGAAAAAAGCCGGAAGTGGCGCTGTGGCTCAAATGGTAGAGTGCTAGCCTTGAGCTGAAGTGCTGAGGCACAGCACCCAGGCCCAGAGTTCAGGCCCCACGACTGGACCCCAAAAAAAAAAAAAAAAATAGTTAAGGGAGGGAGGAGGAAGGGGACAAATGGTTCAAAGACTTATCTGAGTAAAGGGTGCATGGGTTTTAACCATTTCTATCACATATCTGTTTCAAGTATTTCAAAATAAGTATTTTAGAGGAATGCTAACATAGCTTTAAGGGGATAATCAAATAGGCTATAGTATGGAATGAATATTTAATGTTGTACTGATTCAACAATTTAACTTACACGTTTTTAAAATACGCACCCATTGAATGGAAGCCTTGCCTGAGTCTGGATGCCAGATGTTCCAGTGAAGTTAGAGTTGCTTGCTATAGACACATACGAAGACTGCTGTAGCTGTTAAGAAAGGTAAATTTAAGTCATACTTGCAAAAATACTTTCAGATACAATGATTAAGGAGAACAAAAAAATCCAATTACCAAAATAAGAAGAAAAAAATGGAGAGTTTCATACAAACATTACCTCATAAAGCTTTTCTAAGGACTCTGATAAACACCAAGGTGAAATAAATTGAATGCTTTGCAATACTAAATGCTTTAGAGATGTTGAATATACCACAAGTACTAGAATAGCCTCCATGAGCTAGAAAATATTCCTGGCCAGGTGCCGGTGGCTCATGCCTGTAATCCTAGCTACTCAGGAGGCTAGATCTGAGGATCATGGTTCAAAGACAGCCTGAGCAGGACAGTGCATGAGACTCTTATCTCCAATTAACCACAAGAAAACCCAGAAGTGGTGCTGTGACTCAAGTGGTAGAGTACTTGCCTTGAGCTGAAGAGCTCGGGATAGCACCCAGGCCAGAGTTCAAGCCTCACAACTGACAAAAAAAAAAGACACTCTATGAATTAATCATCATATTACCAATCAGAGAATGAGAAGTTTGGGGAAGAGTTGTTTCAATTTTACGCTAATTTCTAAATATAACAAATGCTAGGGGCTAGGAAGGTGGCTCAGTGGTAGAGCGCTTGCCTTGCATGCATGAGGCCCTGGGTTCGATTCCTCAGCACCACATAAACAGAAAAAGAAAAAAGCTGGAAGTGGCACTGTGGCTCAAGTGGTAGAGTGCTAGCCTTGAGCTGAAGAGCTGAGAGACAGCACCCAGGCCCAGAGTTCAGGCCCCACGACCAGACCCCCAAAAAAAAAACAAATGCTAATGATAAAAAACGATGAACAATCTCATCCCTTGATCATTCTCCCTTGAACCTTGGCGCCTTCCTAAATCAATTTCAACAGGTTTCACTGCTGAACAGTAATTTTTTTTTTTTTTTTTTTGGTCGGTTGTGGATGCTGTCTCTCAGCTCTTCAGCTCAGCCACAGCGCCACTTCCGGCTTTTTCTGCTTATGTGGTGCTGAGGAATCAAACCCAGGGCCTCATGCATTCTAGGCAAGCACTCAACCACTGAGCCACCATCCAGCCCCTGAACAGTAATTTTTAACCTAACTAAACATTTTTTTTGGTTGGTCATGGGGCTCGAACTCTGGGCCTGGGTACTGTCCCTCAGCTCTTCAGCTCAAGGTGAGTACACTATCACCTGAGCCACTGCACCACTTCTGGTTTTCTAGTGGCTTTGAACTGCAACCCTCAGATCTTAGCCTCCCAAGTAGATAGGATTACAGGCGTGAGCCACCAGCTCCCTGCTAACTATACATTTTGTTAAAGTAACCTAGGGAGTTGTTAATTTACTTTTTGGTTGTTGTTTTTGGTCGTGGGGCTTGAACCCTGTCCCTCAGCTCTTCAGCTCCAGGCTAGCACTGCATCACTTGAGCCACAGAACCACTTCCATTTTTTCTGGCTGTTTATTGGAGATAAGAGTCTCATGGACTTTCCTGCCCAGGCTGGCTTTGAACCGTGATCCTCATACCTCAGCCTTCTGAGTAGCTAAGTGTGAGCCATGGCATCCAGCTTGTTAGGGAGTGTTTGTGTTTCCTTTTCCTCACTTATAAGCAGAGTTCATCAATTCAACAATCTAGAATCCAGAAACAAAGTGATAATTTGCTGAATCCTTCCATGAAAACCTCCTGCTTCAGGGAAATCACAGTCCTAGGCCCATCTAGCCTACATGGCTTCCATTCGAAAGATAACAAGATGATGATAATGGATTATCACTGATTATGTCTCTTGGAAACGTTGCTTACTGAAGTTCTTTTTTTTTTTTTTTTTAGTGGTTGTGGGTCTTGAACTCTGGGCCTGGGCACTGTCCCTCAGCTTTTCAGCTCAGGCGAGTCCTCTACCACTTGAGCCACAGCACCACTTCCAGTTTTCTGGTGGTTTATTAGAGATAAGAGTCTCACTTTCCTGCCTGGGCTGGCTTTGAACCATGATCCTCAGATATCAGCCTCCTGAGTAGCTTGGATTACAGGCGTGAGGCACCAGCACCAGCATTGAAGTTATTTTTTAAGCACCAGTCAGCGGAGTCATATGTATGTATAAGGAAGACAACTATAGTGAGTCTTTTCCAGTCATTGGAACCTTGCTGACTTTAACTTCATCTTTACTTTTTTGTTTGTGTGCTAGTATTAAGGCTTGAACTCAGGGCATAGGCATAGTTCCTCAGATTTTTCACTCAAGGATGATGCTCTACTAGTGAGCCACAACTCCACTTCTGGCTTTTTTTTGGGGGGGGGAGGGGAAGAACGGGCTGGTTAACTAGCAATAAGAATCTCATGAACTTTTCTGCCTGGGCTGGCTTCAAACTTTCATTCTCAGATCTCAGCTAGGATTTTAAGCAAGAGCCATTGGTGCCTAGTTAACTTCAACTTTTTGCCCTACCTTCACATAGTTTTGCTCTCCTGCCAAACTGCTCCAAATTGTGCTCTTTATTTCTAAATGTTGAAGATACACAGAAACAAAGCAAATGTTTTAGCTATCATTTCAGGATTTTTAGAAACACCAAGTTTCATACCAAGTTCTATTTTCTTTTTTAGCAGCTCCAGAATATGCTAGCTAGTGCTAGACATCTCATAGACTTTTGAAATGCAATGACTTGGTTTTCAACACACCTGAGTAACATACTGTGCTGGAAGCACTGCATAACCCACATTTCCTGTTCCTGGAGCTGGAGCCAGGACGGTACCTGGGGGTAGGTTAGTGAGGTTGGGCTGGATCTGTGGCAGTGGTGTGGCAGGCATGATAAGCCGTTGCTGTGGCTGGCTGGTAGTTACTATTTGTGAAGTTGGATTGATTGGTTTTGGAACAACCTAAAGAAAAGGAAATATAGATGAATAATTGCAAAATTGGTTTTGTAGCTATTTAAGTCAGTAGAAATCTCTTGAGATTTGATAATCATGTGACACTCACCTGTTTGACAGTCTGAGCTGGGACAAATGGAACTGACATCCGTACTGGTGTTGTATTAACCACCACTGGCTTAGCTTTTTAAAAGAAAAAAGATGAACAACTTGTTTATATAAAACAATACTCAAAACTTTTATCTCAAGTTGCTCTTATGAAAAAAAAGGCATTTGTTTTTAATTTTGACTAATCTTTGATTAGGATAGTTACCTTTAAAAATTATTTACCCCATCTACCAGAAAACTTATACAATCTATATATTTTATGAGGAAATATTTACAGGTTTGAGGAATTTTATTGAGGTGTGTATACATTCGGCATTAAATCTAGTCAAAGGAAATTTAGAAAATGAAAAAAGAGCTTATATGCATGAGCCTGAAGAATAACACTGTTTCACCCTACTACTTGTAACTGCTGTTTCTGTTCACACCAGAGAAAAACGCACTCATGTATAATTCAATATTTATAGAATAAAAATTAAAAGGCAGCATAGCATATTAATATGGATTCCAAAAATCTTAAAACTGTGGATTCAAACCCTAGTTCTTCATGCTTGTTCCTTCCTCCTCCTCTTCTCCTCTCCTTTCCTTCCCTTCTTCTACCTCCCCTTCTTTCCCCCTCCCTCCTTTTTTCTCTCCTTTCATTTTCTTGGGGGTGGTAATGGGGTTTCTTTTTTTCTTTTTTGGTGAGGGGGAGGCATAGGGATTTGAACTCAGTGCCTTGAAATTCCTAAACACACACTCTTATCACTTGAGCCAGGCCCTTAGCCCCCAGCTTGGCTTTCTTTCTTTCTTAAAAATTCTATTATTATTTGCTTGGACAGAAGGATTACATTTCGATAAGTCAGGTAATGAGTACAATTCTTAGACAATACCATCCCTTCTTTCACTTTCCCCCAGTTTCTCTCTCCTGTCCCTGTCCACAAGCTTCCTTGTTATTTCCCACATAGAGTATAAAGAATACCATGACTATATTTGTTCACCCTTCCTCTCTCCATTTCTGCCTCCCTTTTGCCCACCCTAAAAAGACAACAACCCAAAACAAAAACAAATAACAAAAAAAAAAATCTATTTCCATTTCCTGGAACTTGTTTTGATAAATAATATTTTAGATCTTCAGAAGAATTATACCTTTGGATTCATCCTATAACAGTATCCTCTTTTAGTCTGTTTGTGTGTAAATGCCTAGAGCCCTGTATAAGCTATCATTTCCAGTTGTATTTTAGATCTAGCTTCCACATGAGAAAAAATGTGTAGTTTGTCTTACCTCACTTAACATGTATTTTCCTAAAAATTATATGGTATTATTCTTTCTAATCTGTGTAAAATTCCATGTGTATAGGTAACACATTTTTTTTGATCCACTCATCTATTGTAGGGCATCTGGTCTGTTTCCATAACTTGACTACTGTGAATAATATAGCAATAAACATGGATATACAAATGTCTTTACTATATCCTGACTTGTAATGATCTGGGCACATGCTCAAGGGTGATATGGCTGGGTCATAGGGAACTTCTATGTTTAGTTTTTTTGTTTGTTTTTTTTTGTGCCAGTCATGAGGCTTGAACTCTGGGCCTGGGTGCTGTCCCTGACTCCTTTTGTTCAAGGCTAGCACTCTGCCAATTGAGCCACAGCGCCACTTCAGGCTTTTTCTGAGATTAATTGGAGATAAGAGTCTCACAGGGGCTAGAAATGTGGTTTGGTTGTAGAACGCTTGCCTAGCATGCATGAAGCCCTGGGATGGAGTCCTCAGTACCACATAAACAGAAGTAGAAAGTGGTGCTATGGCTCAAGTGGTAGAGTACTACCCTTAGCCAAAGAAGCTCAGGCACAGTGCCCAAGCCCTGAGTTCAAGCCCCAGGACTGGAAATAAAAAGTCTCACAGACTCTCCTACCAATGCTGGCTTGGAACCATGATTCTCAGACTTCAGCCTCCTGAGAAGGTAGGATTACAGGCATGAGCCATGGGTGCCCGACTTCTGTTTAGTTTTTTGAGGAATTTCCAAACCACTTTCCAGAGTGGTTGTACTATTTTACATACTCACCAACAGAACAAAGTAGGGTTCCTTTTTGCCCAGCATCCTTGCCGGTATTTGTTGTTGTTCAACTTCATAATGTTGGCCAATCTAACTGGGGTGATATGGAATCTCAGAGTTGTTTTGATTTGCATTACCTTTATGGCCAGGGATGTTGAGCATTTCCTCCTATGTTTCTTTGCCATTCTTACCTCTTCTTCCCTGAGAAGTCTCTCCTTAGCAATGCCCATTTATTTATTGGTTTACTAATTTTATTTTTTTTGGGGGGGGGGGAAGGGGAGTGTTCTACTTTCTAACTACTTAAACCTTTTAGCTTGTACCCTCATCTGCAATATGGGGAGTATGTACCTTATATAAAGGGTTATGCACATTAATTTGTGAAAATTGATTAGAATAGTACCCAACCAGATAGTAAGTGCTCAATAAATGTCAGTTGCCATTATTGTTACTGTTAGTATTCCAAACAATATTAAATAAATGGCACTGTGACCAGTGTTCCTGGAAAACAAATAATAAGACACCTGCTCTCAAGATTATATTCTAGTAGATCAGATTAAGCAAGAGGCCACATATATGAAATATTATTAAAGAAGCTAACTGCTATGGGATTTCAAAAGAGAACATCCACCTTACTGGCAGAGGATGGGAATGCAGAAAGAGGGCATGTGGGCTGCAGCAGGGCATTCTGTGCACACAGGCAAGCCATAATTCATATTCATAACATGTTCATGAACAGACACTTTGGCTATGATCTAGAGTTTGTATCTACTCAAACACAAGGACTTTGAATGCTAAAATAGGTATCTGTATACTTCATCTATAGTTTTAACTCTATAGCCAATGAGAAGTGTCTGAGGATTTTTTTCCCCCAGTCCTGGGGCTTGAACACGGGGCTTGGGCATTGTGCCTAAGGTTCTTTTGCTCAAGGCTAGCACTCTACCACTTGAGCCACAGTGCCATTTCTGGCCTTTTCTGTTTATGTGGTACTTAGGAATCGTACCCAGGACTTCATGCATGCTAGGCAAGCAATCTACCACTAAGCCACATCCCCAGCCCCAAAACTAAAGGTCTCCTTTACTCTCTTTTTTGGTGTGTGTCAGTTGTGGGGCATGAACTTGGGGCCTGCACACTGTCCCTAAGACTCTATGTTCAAGGGTAGCGCTCTACCACTTGGGCCACAGCACCACTCTAAGCATTTTTAAGTACAGAACTATTACTGGAACAATACTGAAATTACTGGAACAATACTGAAAGCTGTGTTTGGCCACAGTATGTAAACACAATCAACTTCAAGGAATAAGATAAGGCAGCTGGGCGCTGGTGGCTCACGCCTGTAATCCTAGCTACTCAGGAGGCTGAGATCTGAGAATCACAGTTCAAAGCCAGCCCGGGCAGGAAAGACCCTGAGACTCCCACCTCCAATAAAACACTAGAAAACTGGACGTGGCACTATAGCTCAAGTGGTAGTGTACTCGCCTTGAGCTGAAGAGCTGAGGGACAACGCCCAGAGTTCAAGGCCCACGACTGACTACGGGTGGGGAGAGAGTGGGGGAGATAAGGCAGAAGAGCTTAAGAGATGAGCACCAGGGGTAACTAAGAGTGGAAGTGCAGACCTGGTGAAAGTGAAAGGAATGAGATGGAACCACTAAACAGTAAGAATTGTGTTATAGGGTCTGGGAAGGTGGCTCAGTGGTAGAGCACTTGCCTTGCATGCCTGAGGCCCTGGGTTCCATTCCTCAGCACCACATAAGCAAAAAGAAAAAAGCCGGAAGTGGTGCTGTGGCTCAAGTGGTAGAGCACTAGCCTTGAGCTGAAGAGCTGAGGGACAGCGCTCAGGCCCAGAGTTCAGGCCCCATGACCGGACCCAAAAAAAAAAGAAAAAAAAAAGAATTGTGTTATAGACCTCACACACAAACACACACACACGAGCCTGCATGCATGCCTATGCAGGAACATGCGTGTGTGTACCCCTAGAAAACTCAGGTATCCAAGTTTACATGAGTAAACTAAGTTTACACTGAGTTTATTTTGATAGTTCTGCTGGGGACTAAACCCAGAGTCTTCAACATGCTAGGAACAAGCAAGTGATCTACCACTTTGTTAATTGTTCCCCACTCCTTGATTTTTTTTTTTTTTTTTTTTTTTTGTTGGACATAGGGCTTGAACTCTGGGCCTGAGCACTGTCTCTCAGCTCTTTAGCTCAAGGTGAACACTCCACCACTTGAGCTATAGTGCCACTTCCTGTTTTCTGGTGGTTTATTGAAGATAAGAGTTTCACGAATGGGCTGGGAAGGTGGCTCAGTGGTGGAGCGCTTGCCTTGCATGCATGAGGCCCTGGGTTCCATTCCTTAGCACCACATAAGCAAAAAGAAAAAAGCCAGAAGTGGCGCTGTGACTCAAGTGGTAGAGTACTAGCCTTGAGCTGAAGAGCTGAGGGACAGTGCCCAGGCCCAGAGTTCAGGTCCCACGACCAGACACACCCCGCCCCCACTCCCAAAAAAAAAGAGTTTCACAGACTTTCCTGTCCAGGCTGGCTTTGAACCAACATCCTCAGATCTCAGCCTCCTGAGTAGCTAGGATTAGAGGCATGAGCCACCAAGCCCAGCTCCTCCTTGTTTTTTGTTTTTTTTTTTTGGGTCCGGTTGTGGGGCCTGAACTCTGGGTCTGGGCGCTGTCCCTCAGCTCTTCAGCTCAAGGCTAGCACTCTACCACTTGAGCCACAGCACCACTTCCGGCTTTTATTCTTTTTGCTTATGTGGTGCTGAGGAATCGAACCCAGGGCTTCATGCATGCAAGGCAAGTGCTCTACCACTGAGCCAACTTCCCAGCCCCTCCTTGTTTTTTTGAAACAAGGTCTCAGTATGTAACTCATGGTGGCCTAGAATTCACAGTCCTCCTGCCTTTGCCTGCCTGGCCATGCCTGTGTTTAATGATTGAGAAAGAAGACTACATGAAATGAAGTGGTCAGAAAACAGACACTATATAATACCCAAGAGAGGAGAGAGTATAAATATTACTGAGTTAATTTCTTTTATACTATTCCTCGTTTCATTACCAATAATGATGAAATTTTCACAAAGGCTAGTGCAATTTTCAATATTTTAGTCTTTAGAAAGAACTATAAATAATTCTTGAGACTGTTTTCACCTTTCTGGCAAGTGTTTGATGCTTTTACTTCCTAAAATTGATTTGGTCCTTCAACAAGACAGCATATCATCCTGAAGCAGTCAGGTAAGCATACTTCACTGCCTGAAGGAGTCAGCAGCTAGCACTGTTGGACCTTACAGTCAATGTTGTTTTTAGGGTGAGATGCATAGCCTAATTCCCTTTGCATTTAAATAAATCATTATTGTAGAGAAAAAACTGGGATAGTACGAGAGAAGGGGTGACACTGTTCAAAAAGAAATGTACTCTTACTAGGCACTGGTGGCTCACACCTGTAATCCTAGCTACTGAGGGGACAGTGATCTAAGGATCGTAGTTTGAAGCCAGCCTGGGCAGAAAATTCCCCATGAGACTCTTATCTCCAATTAACTACTCAAAAACTGGAAGTAGAGCTATGACTCAAAGTGGTAGAGCTAGTCTTGAGCAAAAGAGCTCAGGGACAGAGCCCAGGCTTGAGTTCAAACACTACAACTGACAAAAAAAAAAAAAGTACACGTCACCTGACTTATGTAACTGTAACCCCACTGTATATCACCTTGTAATAATAATTTTTAAAAATCATTATTAAGGAAAAGCAGATCTTCAAAAAAGCATGTTAATATATTTGATGAACTGGAGTACTATTTGTAGTATCTCTGAGTTCAAATTATACCACCAAAGAAATGAAATAATAAATATATAAAACAGCAATAAAATAGCCCCAAGTTAATGAACAAATATGATTATCGGGTATTACATTGTCCCTCTAGCTATCAGCTCTTGGCAGACTAAACCCTTACAGTCATATACAATAGGACCCTTTTTCCCTATTTTCTGAAGCAATTGCTGACTCAAACTATTAGCTGAATGATCACACCTAATTAAGAGTTCAGCAAGAAAAGGATCCATGTTCTTTCATCATGTTAAAAGCATCTATTGTTGCCTCATGCCTGCAACCCCCAGCTACTCAGGAAGCTGAAATATAAAGATCAAGGTTCAAAGCTACCCTGTACAGAAAAGTTTGTGAGACTCCAGTTAACCAATAAAAAGCTAGAAGTGGAGCTATGGTTTCAGTGATAGAAATACCAGCCTTGAACAAGTCAAGGGCAGTGTGAGGTCCTGAGTTCAAGCTCCAATACACACACACACACACACACACACACACACACACACACACACACACACACACACACACACACACACACACACACACACACACACGGCATCCATTGCTGTGTTGTGATAGAAATACCAGCACACACACACACACACACACACACACACACACACACACACACACACACACACACACACACACACACACACACACACACACACACGGCATCCATTGCTGTGTTGTGATAGAAATACCAGCCTTGAATAACAAAGTCAAGGGCAGTGTGAGGTCCTGAGTTCAAGCTCCAACACACACACACACACACACACACACACACACACACACGGCATCCATTGCTGTGTTGTTTTTTTTTGTTTTTTGACTAACCTTGCTGAAGAGGTTGAGTGTTCGTACTGGGATTCTGACTGGCTGGCTGGGTTGAGCTGCTGGCTGTTGTGGCAGTAACCAGCCGTACATAATGAAACTTGCTTCCAGGCACTTGAATCTGCTGGACATTGGGAGCAGTTGCCAGAGGAATAATTGTCTTAAACTGTGATGTGCTTACTCCTCCAACAGCGATGGTCTGCACAGCTGACTTTACTGCCTAATAAACAACACAACATAACACAACACAGTTATCATTAATCTGGGTCTTAGCCTTCCTCCTCATGGCAACTGGTTCCAAGTGCTGAAATTGCTCAAAATGTATTCCTGCAGGTCATCAAAAGCTCTTGGAAGGAATAACCTGGTCAAAAAAAAAGTAAAAAGAACATTAATGAATACAAGTGTAAAACCAAAATTAATAAGTTCTACGTTCAACTGCCAGTAGTTCATTTCCTCCATAGTTCAGGTCAGAAAACTTGCTAGAAAGAAATTAGTTAATTTGCAAGAATGGGTACCTAGCTTTGATACTGTCAGGTAAAATTGTAATATGTATTTTTAAAACTTTCAGAACTAAGCTACATTCAATAGAGAGAGAAGAGAATAGATATATTTCTACTAAAGTTACTCTAAAATTTATATTCAACATGTTCTAGAGGAAAACAAGGCCCCTTTTGTATCCTTATGTCTGGTCAGTTTTGAAAAGCTTATTATATACCCATCCCCCAGGTACAAAAGTACCAACTACTGGGGCTGGGAAGGTGGCTCAGTGGTAGAGCGCTTGTCTTGCATGCATGAGGCCCTGGGTTCTATTCCTTAGCACCACATAAGAAAAAAGAAAAAAGCCAGAAGTGGCGCTGTGGCTCAAGTGGTAGAGTGCTAGCCTTGAGCTAAAGAGCTGAGGGACAGCACCCAGGCTCAGAGTTCAGGCCCCACGACCAGACCCCCCCCAAAAAAAGAATCTGACATTTTGAACATGTTCAGAAAAATTCCAGAAAAAAATGGAGTACTATTTAGTTCAAAAATTCCAGTATCAGGGGCTGGGAAGGTGGCTCAGTGGTAGAGCACTTGCCTTGTATACCTGAGGCCCTGGGTTCGATTCCTCAGCACCACATAAGCAAAAAGAAAAAAGCCAGATGTGGCGCTGTGGCTCAAGTGGTAGAGCACTAGCCTTGAGCTGAAGAGCTGAGGGACAGCGCCCAGGCCCAGAGTTCAGGCCCCACGACTGGACCCAAAAAAAAAAAAAAAAAAAAAGATTCGGAGGCTGACAGTGGCTGGCAAAGAGGAAATAGAAGATTCCTCAATTTTTTTTTTATGGAGAGACTAACTAGACACTCTTGTCCACAAAAAAAAAAATTCTAGTATCAGCTAGGTGCAGGTACCTCATGTCTGTAATCCTAGCTACTCAGGACACTGAGATTTGAGAACTGGCGTTAGAAGCCAGCCTGGGCAGAAAAGTCCCCATGAGACCCTTATACTCCAATAAATTACTAAAAAAACAAAAACAAAAAGCTAGAAGTGGTACTGTGGCTGAAGTGGTAGAGCACTCACCTTGAGCAAAAGAAGCTCAAAGTGCCCAGGCCCAGAGTTCAAGCCCCAGAACCAGGAAGGCAGGGAGGGGAGAATTCTAGTATCAGACCCTAAATCCGCATACAATAACTCACATATTATCACTAGGCAGCAGAACCAAAAGGCAGAATCAAGTTAAGGATAAAAGAAAACAGTATGCACAACAGTCACTGAAATTAATGAAAACTGAAACATAAAAGGTAATATGTATAATCATGTAAGCTACTGTAAAGATAAGCAACCTACAAGACAAATGTGTTCAATTGTGTGCAAGAGAGTCCTTGCTGCAGGTCATCTCAAATATGGGAAATAGCACTAGCTTAAGGAACAAAGTGCTTCAAACATAGTTGTAGTTATTGGACACTTAACAGGCACAGAGGCAGTTCCAAAAACAGAGTAAATGCAAGGACTGGCTTACTAAGTTTCCATAGTATATCTTTCCTCATAAATGAATTTTACTATGTATACTTTAAGTCTACAATATGATGTTACCAGGATACATACAAAAGAAAAATGGTTACAACAGTGAGGCAAATGAACAAATCCAGAATCTCATACAGTTGTTTTGTGCTTCTGTGGCAAGAGTAGCTAAAAATCTACTCATTTAGCAGGAATTCCAATATAGTACAATGTTATCACCCACCCAGTGCCAGTCCCAGGCAAAATCCTATACTTTCTACATTGTAGGGACCTAAGGCATGTATCACCATCTTGAATTATGATCTTCCCAGTCTCAGCCAATTGATGGGCACCTTGGTTATTCTGAATAGGGAGGGGAAACACGACATCCAGATTGGCATTATGACAAACATTTCCAAAAGTGGCAGAGTAGGATTACATGGTAGTCTTATTTTTCATTTTTTGAGGAAATATTCTTAAATGTGTTAATCCTAGGTGTTGTTGTTGTTGTCATTGGTCGTGGGGCTTGAACTCTGGGCCTGGGCACTGTCCCTCAGCTCTTCAGTTCTTTTTTTTGTTTGTTTGTTTTTTTTGTCGGTCGTGGGGCCTGAACTCTGGGCCTGGGTGCTGTCCCTCAGCTCTTCAGCTCAAGGCTAGCACTCTACCACTTGAGCCACAGCACCACTTGTGGCTTTTTTCTTTTTGCTTATGTGGTGCTGAGGAATGGAACCCAGGGCCTCATGCATGCAAGGCAAGCACTCTATCACTGAGCCACCTTCCCAGCCCTCAGCTCTTCAGTTCAAGGCTAGCACTCTACCACTTGATGCACAGCACCGGACCAGTTCTGGTCTCTGGTGGTTTATTGGAGATCAGAGTTTCATGGCCTTCTTGCCCAGGCTGGTTTTGAACTGTGATTCTCAGATCTCAGCCTCCTGAGTAGCTAGGATTACAGGTATGAGCCACCTGCGCCCAGCTAATCCTAGTTATTTTTATTAACATCTGAGTCTGATAACTCTAATACCTATATCTATCTTATAGTTTTGAATAATTTCCTCAGCTGACTAGTGAAAAATTCAGGAGATAACCTGAGGCTCTAACAGATGTTATTTAGCTAAAAAGATGTCATTTTGCCTTCTGGTTGGCAATTCAGACTAAGGGCAGATTCTACTAGGCTAATCACAAATGGAGGGGATTAGAATCTGGGCTTTAATTCTTGAAAGACCAATTCTTTCTCCATGGACCACCACTTAAGTGACCTCCCCAGTAAAAGGACTTAGGTGTTATAAGGTTTTCTCCTTCTTAGGGTCTGAACTCTAACTTTTGTCAATGAGATCTACAGGCTGACAGTCCTGCTCAGCCCTCAATTTCTCCATGGCCACTTTCACTTATTCTCTTAGTCTTTCTCCCATAACTACAAATCAGCATATGGTCTAGAAGGAAAACTCTCTAGGATTCCCTCTTCTGCTAAAGCCTAGCTCCCTTGGGATGACTACAGTACCTTCAAAGAGACTTTTAAAATATATTTCTGCTTTTTAGCTTCCCTTGGTAGGAAGGTTGGTCTTCAGCAAGCTAGTTCTGTATAGCCAAAAACAGAAAATCCAGACTGCCAAGGTTTTAATCTAGGCTCCATAGTTTCCTAGTTGTGTGATCTTGACTATGGAAATTTCAGCAAGTGTGAAGATGGTACTTTTTCATAGGGTTGTTTGAAGGATAGAATGAGTTAAATTATAGAGCTCAAATGATAATCTATCATATATTACGATGCTCAATAAAGTGAGTCGCTATGTGCATCATCTTTCTTATGGTCATTCTAGAAAGTAAATCTCAAAGTAACTTCCCCAGGGTCACAGAGCCAACAAGTAGCACAGCCCAGGATGTGAACCAGCTCCAGCTCCAAAATCCAATCTCTTAACAAAAACATTCTACTGCCTCCTACTGTAGAGGTAAGATGAATAGTTATTAACTGACTGAATAGCATTCTTAACAAATGAAGTTCCACATTTGCTACAAAGATACACAAATGTACTTTTAGAATATTAAACAGAAGCATAAGCAGTATTTTGAGAAAGTTGATACTCTCAAATGAATAACTCTTACTAAACACTATCAAAACTAGGACACTGACATCAGGTATAATAATACCTATGGACTGAACTGTAAGACCAGACTGTGATTAGATTTTTCCAGTTTTCATATGTGTTTTTTTATGTATTATTCTATATAATTTTATGACTTACAAATTTATGTAAGTGACATCACAATCAGGGCAAAAAATTGTTCTACCAGAATTTCCCTTGAAGGTAGTCATACTTTACGCTTAACAACCACTGGGGAAACCTCACTTTTAGCAGCTAAAATACCAAGCAATCTTTAAGGGTTAATATTTTAAGCCTGCATAAAGACAGCCAGCACAGAAATACTTCACTCTTTGAAAGAACGGTTACAAGTTGGCTATTCCTCAGGTGAACGCTTCTCAGAACACACTCTGCTACTAGAAAAACTTTCCATGCACATTCAAGAAAATTTTCTTTTCTTGTTTCCTTTTTTTTTAGGCAAGGTGATGCTATCTTGCTCACAGGATTATATGTGCTCACAATGTACATTGATCAGACTTACTCTCCCCTCACTCTTCCTTCTCCCCTTCCCAAACCAGTCTCAGGAAGCTCCATTTTTGCACATGCACAAAAAAGCATTTTAGCCATATTCTCCACTTAGCCTTCCCACTTCCACTGCTACCAACATGCACACTGGATCTGTTTTACATTCTTTTTTAAGATCTATACTAATTGTTCAAAGGGGTTTTTCACTATGGTTTTTCAAATATACTTATGCAGTTCTTTCAACTGACTAATCCACTTGATTGCCTCACTTTCCCCAACCCCTTACTTTCTATTATTCAACAGCCGTCAGTGAGTTTCAGTTTGGCATCAAAAATGAAGGAAATTCTGATATGTCTATAATGTGGATGAATTAAGGACAAATACTATTGGTCCACTTTTATGAGATAATTTAAGCAGTGAAAATCATACAGAGCATGGAACAGCAGTTTCCAGGAAGGGAGAAATCATACATGAAGAGACTATTGATATTTTGACTAAAGTATAATTTTTTTCCCCTTTTTTAGACTGGTCTTACTATATAACCTAAGCTGGCCTGGAATTTGAAATCCTCTGGCCTCAGTCTCCCAAGTGCTCCTACTTGCCTATAATCTCAATATTTTGGAGGCTGAAGCAAGAGGAATGAGAGTTTTGGATC